GGAGCAGACCCACCTGGTGGACTTTGTTTGTTTCTTGGTAACGGTTTTATTTCAGATTCAGGGGTTTTTGTTTCCCAGGTGACAGCAGGGAGAAAAACATGAACGTGAAGTCGTTTTTAGGTTTCAGTGTGAAGGACTCGAAGGACGCGAGGGGCAGAGCGAGGAGCGGCGTCTTCACCGGTACAGTCACCTGCTTCAGACTCAGTGAAGCTCACATCACACAGACAAACTTGAAGCTCAAAGCTGTGATCGTGATCATGTGATCATGTGATGGTGCAAGGACATTGTTCTGCTCCCACCCCTTTATGGTCCCCGTCTTCTGATTGGCTGCCAGGTGACCACATCCCACAGAACCAGTGGCCTGAGCTTCAGAAACATGTTTAACATGAGCTGTTGGAGCAGGAGAGGAGACGACCCGCTCCACCTCGAAGGTGGAGGCCGTGTGAGTGTGTATCTGTGGTACTCCACAGTACTGTAATACTCACACAGTATTACTTTGGATAGATTTTTACTGCAGTCCGTTATCAGCTGTTAATCAGACACACACGCAGCTGCTGCAGGCGGCCTCGCCGGCCTGCGAGCTGATCATTATCATGGGCGTCGATGATGTCGTGTGTGGGTAGACACGAGTTCGAGGCCCGTGTTTGGACTCGCTTTGTTCTAACTTTCACGGGTTGGTTGCCTAACTCGGCTACATGGTGACTCCACAGTGGTGTCACCTGTGCCAGTGATCAGAAACACTCAGGAACTCTTTAATCATCAGATCAAAGCTGTGATTGGGCTGCTGTAGAGGTCAGGTGACCTTTGCAGGTGAGGGCGAGCACTCACCTGGCTGCTGTAGTTGTCGAACACAGTGGGGATGTACTCTTTGGGAAACGCTCCGGTGGTGTAGGATATAAGGAGACACGTCTTCCCCACAGCACCGTCACCCACAACCACACACTTTATAGTCTGCATGATGACCTCTGACCTCTGGCCCCTCGGTGACCTGTGGAGGACAGAAATGTGAGGTTGTGCTATCATCAGACCACAGAAAAAACAGGTGACCTGATGTGAAACAACCTGCAGCTCCGCTGGCTGCGGTTACCTCATCTTTTCTCACAAAGAATAAATAATATATATAGAGTTATTTATTATATATATTACATATATTTATAATAATAAATAACTCTTTTCACCT